AAATATTTTGTATATAGGAAACAAGGAATAAAAGGAAGTTGAGAATATTATAATATATTATAATGGATGTACAAGGTTCTTTGAGAGAAGCTTTGTATGAAACGTTAAGTGGAATTTTGTCTCCTCATACAGAAACAAGACAAGCAGCTGAACAAAGAATACAAGCATTAGAAGTTACAGAGGAATTTGGTATACATTTAACAGAATTTGTAGTAGATCCTAATGGACATTTACCTATTAGGCAATTAGCTTCTGTATTGTTAAAACAATATGTTGAAACTCATTGGTCTTTTGTGGCTGAGAAATTTCGTCCTCCTGAAATAAAATATACAACAAAAGAAAGAATTAAGGAATTACTGCCATTAGGACTTCGTGAATCCATTAGTAAAGTAATATATATTTATAATTTGATTTATGAATGTTATATATATTTATATCAAATATAAAAGTATTTTATCTCATTAATTATTTAGGTACGTACAGCAGTAGCATATGCGATATCAGCTATTGCACACTGGGATTGGCCGGAAAATTGGCCTGGTTTATTCGATATACTTGTTAGTTGTTTAAGCGGGGAAAGCGAATATGCCGTTCACGGAGCAATGCGAGTTTTAACAGAATTTACTTCAGATCTTACTGATAATCAATTACCTAATGTGGGACCAGTAATTCTTCAAGAAATGTATAGAATATTTCAAAGTGAAAATGTACGTTCATTAATGTCTTATATTAAACATTAACCATATAATAACACCATGACAATATCAATTTATGGTTTTAGCAATATTCTATTAGAACCCGTGGTCGTGCTGTTGAAATATTTACTACAATTACAACATTAGTTGCCGCTACTGGAATTTATCAAAAAGGATTTACAGAGCAATATCTACAACCGGTTATTCCCATGTTTTGTGAAAAATTTGTTCATTGTTTACGACTGTCTGATGGTTCAACTAGCGATAGCGGACTTAAAACCGATGTTATTAAAGCTATAAATTGCCTAGTTACTAAGTTACCTAAGTATGTATCAAGATTTTTACCTCAGATGTTACCACCAGTTTGGGAAACTTTAGTACAAAGTGCTAAACTCTATCAAGAAAGATCTGTAAATGGAGAGGGAGATACAAATGATAAAGAAGTCGATTCAGATGGTAAATTTTGCGTTAAAAAATTCAATTTGTACTTATCGAGAATTAATATATTTGCAATATATTTATCTTTTTATAGGTGAAATAATTAACTTTAATAATTTGATTATTGCGATATTCGAATTTATTCATTCTATCGTAGATCGTAAACGATTTTCAAATCTTTTGGATAATTTAATGCAAGAAGTAATGTATTATTTAATCATTTTTATGCAAATAACCGATGATCAAATCGAATTATGGACGACTAGTCCTAATCAATTTGTCGAAGAAGACGATATATTTGCTTATAACGTTCGCATTTCAGCTCAGGAACTTTTAACGGTAAATATGTATTGTCAAGAAGGAAATGATAAAACAGTTAATAATAGTTGATGATTAGAGTAATATTTAAATTGAATTTTTTTTATCGATTTTTTGTACGTATAGGCTTTAGTGAATTATTCCGAGGAAAAAGCGGTGAATGCACTTTGCGAAGTAGTTACTCGTCATATCGAAGCAACTAGTAGATTGCAAAATACAAACAATGGAAGCGAGAATAATGAAACGTGGTGGAAATTACGAGAATCATCTATTTTAGCATTAAGTAAAACAAAAGATGCCGTTGTGGAAAGGCAGCAAACTGGAATTCTTCAATTCGATATTATTAGATTTTTGGATACAATCGTTTTAGCTACTTTAAAGGATTCAGGTATTGCTTCATTACTTTTCATTCATGAAAAAAAACAATTAATTTTTTCCATCATTATTTTGTATCATACTGATGACTTTTAGGAGCACCACCGTTACTTCTTGGTCGTTGTTTATGTATCGGTGGCAAATATGCTGAGATAATGCCACCAGAAATGAGTTCACGTTTCTTAGAAGCAACAGTTAATGGATTGCAAGAGAATCAACTTTCGTGTATTCGTATCAGTGCAGTGAAAGCTATTTATTGGTTCTGCAAGGCATCGATGATGGAAAATAACAATACCCTGGGCAATATTATACGATCTCATTTGCCAAATATATTCCAAGGAGTTTTCAATTTAGCCAATCAACCATCAACGGAAATTTTAATATTAGTAATGGAAACTCTGCAAGTTTTGGTTTCGGTAATAATGTTCATTATTCTTTTTCTTTCTTTTCTTTTTTTTTTACTATTATTCGTTCTAATTTTGCCTCTTGTTTTTGCAGCTAGACAAAGCATTTACCGCTTCAATGGAGAATAAAATTTGTCCCTTAACTATCGCTGCATTTTTAAAGTTTTATAGCGATCCTGAAATTTTGAATTTGTGTCAAGATATATTTAAAAGCTTAACACAAAATCCTGATTGCATAGGACCATTACAAACTCGATTGATACCGACGTTAACTAGCATGATGGCTGTAACGCCTATGAATAAATCAAAAGATGGTAAGGTAGTATTTTACTTTACCGTCCAAGCGAATAAAGAACACGGACATTAGAATCGAAATTATTTGCTCGAATTTCTGTTTATCGCAATAGAAAGATGTCAAAACGTAGCTTTGGATATTTTGCAAGTATTGGTGCAATATTCTCCTAGACCATTGAGCAGCGCATTGATAGAAACTGCGTTTCCTGCCGCTTGTCATTGCATCTTAAATTCAGAGGACAACGAAACCTTGCAAAACGGTGGAGAAGTAATACGAACTTATCTAGCTGTCGCGGCTCGGCAGGTGACGGTACATCGAGATAATGACGGTCAAACAGGTTTGCAGTATATACTGCAGATCATCGCTCAGTTATTGAATCCTCAGGTAACTCGATAATTTTGATCAATAACAAACAGACTCGTTCCCATTTTTTTTTTTTTTTATTCTCATTATTTCGACACACGAACTGTACTATATCAATTAATTGATTTTTTTAACGAGGCGTGTCGCATTTGTAGTCGAGCGAGTTTACAGCGACTTTTGTCGGACGATTGGTGACAACGTTAATTAGAAAAGCAGGAAACACATTGGGCGAAAATCTCGATCTATTATTGAAAGCTGTGCTGAGTAAAATGCAGCGAGCCGAGACGTTGACCGTGGTACAGAGTTTGCTCATGATATACGCTCATCTCATAAACACAGAATTCGATGCTGTCCTAAATTTTCTGTCAACCGTACCCGGTCCAACAGGACAGAGCGCTCTCGCATTTGTACTCTCTGAATGGGTCAGCAGGCAACATTTATTTTTCGGTAGATACGACCGAAAGGTAGCAACGGTCGCGCTTTGCAAGATATTGGAGTACGGTGTTACACACGGAGATAGTCGATTGAACGAGATCACTGTAAAAGGAGACGAAATATTTTCAGGTTCGTATTCGAAACGTTCGGATTATACGATTTCGCAAAAAGAAAAAAAAAAAAATTCGAACGAATTGGAAAAAGGTTTATATAAATATTTTACGTATACGTTCGTGTATAAATTCATAGAGAGACAATATCGTTTTTTTGTCACTTTTTTTTTTCTTGAATATTTATTTTTAATTTTAATCAATACAAGATGTCGATAAAATATTTATTCCAAAACAGCGAGTGACTAATTAAAATTCGAGAATACGTAGGAAACGAAGAAGGCGTGAGGACTAGGAGTAAAGCCGAATCACAGCCTTATCAATGGACCACTATACCTGTTTTGGCAAAGATATTCAAGCTGATAATTAACGAGTTATCGAACGACATCGAAGCGGTCGCCGCTAATCAAGACACGGACGTTAGTATAATAAATTTTTCCATGTTTATCCATTGATTATTATTCTCGTTCGATGGCTCGAATAAATCAGTCTTTAACGCGTAGGAATCGGACAACGAAGACGACGAAGACGATAGTGAAAATGCCTATCTAGATCCAGGCTATGAAACTATGTTACGTAAGTGGGATGCGCGGTAACGCGGCACCATCGGCATATTTTTTATTTTTATTTTTATTTTTTTTTTTTTATTTTTTTTTATTCGCTGAAATTCTCCTGCAAATGTTTATCGAATAATATTATTAACGTAATATATTATATTTTTCTTAAAATTATCATTTTTATCGATATCAGTGTTGGGAGAAGCTGCGAACGAGGCTGAGGAAGACGAGGACGATCCGGACTTGCTGCAAGATTCCATCTATCACTTGAATTTGAGTCAATATCTGCAAGATTTTTTATTAAATTTCTCGACTCATCATTGCTTTCCAGCGTACATTCAGCATCTAAATATTCCGGAACGAAAAGTTTTAAGCAGCTTAAACATCAACGCATCGTTCATGCAATAGATAGATGGATATATAAAATCGTTAAATAGATACATGAACAGATACACGTGTCAATGATAAGGATTTTTGAATTTCGTAATAAAATATGTGATTCTTCATATATATATTTCATCTTTTTTCTTACGGCACATTTTTACCTGTTTCACACATTGCTCG